AGATCTTAACTGCAGATATGCTATTGATAAGCGAAAAATGCAAAATTTAATAAAATCTGCGACAGCATATGCTAATGCGAAAAATCTTAATTTCTGCGTATATTATGCTACCGCAGAAAATGTGCTACCCTAATCTGAAATTATGTTGATTTTAGCCAGAATTATAATCGATGAATTTTTTTTACAAGTTACAAATAAACTTCATTACGCTAAGTACAAGAAAAGTTCACTCTCAGAATGGAACTTAAATACTTGGTAGCAATTGTACGTCAAATGAGTCAAAAGAATCGTTACGCTGTGTTGTGTTCTTGGAAAAGAAATAGAAATGCTGGAAAAGCATATGAAAAAATAATTTAAGGGGGTCGAAAAAATATCCAACTTAAAATGTCAATTAAAGGTTAGTATTTTTACACGTTTTCAGAATGTGAAAATACTAATGAGAATAGCAAAGGTATGCTACGCTCTATGTTTGTGTACACAGGAAAATGCCATATCGGGCATGTTTTCTTGCTTTTGAGATTTTTGATTATCAGAAAAGAAATTGGCTATTCACCTTCTCTATGTTGGATCTTTGCTCACCACATCGCTCTTCACATAATATTATAGGGGTCACAAAAAAAAAAGGCACAAGCTAAGAAAACATTCCGCCAAAAATAAGTAATGTCGAAGTTATTGAAGAGGCAGAAGGCGAGCAAGCATCAAAAAGAAAACGAACTCATTGTCAGTCTCGTATTGCTTTTGATAAGAATAAAATTATCAAGAATATACTACCAATGTCAAAGAATAAGGTATGAGGTTAATACTTTGATTTCTTATTACTCCATCTCACTCATTTCTCATTGTCGGTTATTTGAAAATCAGTGGTTAGTATGTATTATAAATGCTACAAAAAATTCCATGAATATCAGCAAAAGGCTCTTGAAAAACTTCATTCAACCGGATTAACATGACATGACACATATGAAATCTTGTAAGTTATGAGATTTACAACACAATTATTATACCCATATCCAAATATTATAACTTTAAGGCGTTTTCATCAATAATGATGCTTGACCAATGTTGCCCCTATTTAAATTTCACCAATGAAGAATAGCAGAAAATAACCGAAGCGAATCCATATTTAATCCACGAACTAGTGATATCAACCCCAGTGTCCAAGAAGCTGTGACAAAGCACCTGTCAATATAGTTGTCTGACAGAACTCCCAGATTTAGACATTCGGATGAAACTCTGCTGAGCAAAGCTTTTTCAAGAACTTTCAATAAACTGTAAGTTTTATTAACTCTTATTTAATAGAACTCATTTAACAAATATTGTTTTTGACATATTATGAAGAGAAAATGTGCCTAATATCGCGTCTAAGACTATGTCCTAGCAAGAACATTGCTCACATTTCCTCCATCAAATTATAAATCCGATTTTCTTAAGAAGAAATAAAGATTATAAAGTATGGTTAGGTCGCCCAGTAAACAGAACCAAACTAAGACCATATCTCTCTTGCATCGTGGATAGGATCTCTATGTTAAATTCAGAAATAAAACCGTTAGGTTTGTGTGGCCCTTTAAATCAAAAGAAGGATATTGTAAAAGCACATCTACAGGCAGAAAAGACAATAAATCAATTTTTGTCCTCAAAAGGTGACCCAGGAGAATCGGCAATATTTCTTAATTGTAGTTTGTTCTTAGTTTATTATTATGAAATTAACAACTGTAAAAAAATATTATAAATTTTATTATAAAAATATTATTTTTTGATAACTAATTTTAATATATCTAAAATTAACTTTTAAATTTGGAAGGAAAACCATTGAAGGAATAGCTAGAGATTGTAGGTAACCACAAGCAAATCGAAATGTTAACATAACAACATGGAATGTCATAATTGTAAACAACAAAGATATACTTCATGAAACCATATCCAGGTTGCAATCAATTTGGACATGTTCTATCTCTTACTTGGTATCTCACTTTGGTTGGTTTATATGATATCATTGAAGTATATAAACAGATATAAATGCAATTGATAATAATGTTAAATACTTACCTAAAGCTGGTATCTTAGATATTATTTCAGGAGATATATTTAGTTTTGCTACCCATAATGTATCAACAAATTATAAAAACTTTTAGAATTAAAAGGGTACAAATTCTCAATATTTTTGCAATATTAAAATGATTTAACTATGTTTCTTTTTGGAGTAAACCAGACCCTTCCGATTCTATTACTGCTGGTATTAGATTCTTTATTAACAAAAAATGGAGTTAGTTTATTGCTAGAACTTCTCTATTTAATAATAGATTTATATATATCAATTTATTTTTCAATAGATATAGCAAACTTAGAATCTTCAGTACATAGATTCATGTATTTTCCAGAAATTCAAAAGATAAATACTATAAATGATTTTTACAAAAGAACTACTATAGAGGATTGATAAAGCTATAAAAGAATATTATCACATGATAAATTTAATTATATTTTATATTCTGATCAATTTTTTGATGAAAATTAGATTTTATTAAAAGTTTTTTAATAGAAATTTTCTTAACTTACATAATATTAGTAACAATAAATCTGATCCAACATTTTTTTCTTTTATAGTAAAAAGCATAAAATTACATCTAAAAGATTGGATGGTATCTTTACTTTTTCAGACTTTATTTCTGATTTCATCTATTGTGAAATTGCAAAATCTTTTCTTTATAAATCTAATCATAAATTGCTAATAGTTTATTTTGCTAATATTAAAATTGAAAAATTTGTTAGAAATAATACTAGAAGAAATGTTTTGAACTTTTCTCTAATAAATCAAGAAATATGGTTTAAATTTTCAGAAACAATTGATAGTTAAATATATAGACTTTTCGTTTTTTTATTACTAAATAAATTTAATATGAATTAAATTGAGAAGATATTTGTATGATAATTAATCAAGTTATTTTTTCAACAATCCTATATAAATGGATAACCTCTTATGATAAAACATCTAAACCTAAAGAATTAGTTATTCACTATAATCATCTTAAAAAACTCAAAAGGATTCTTCTTAAATTTTACAATAAAATATGCATTTAAAAATCTGGCTAATTAAAATAGAATAGAATAATGACCTTATAATATTACATGATATTTAAAGATGGTACAGCAATTGATTTCAAATTTACAAAATGTTGCAACATAAGCTAAAATTAGTTGCAACATATGGGTTCTGTGCTATGAAAATCGAAGTACGAGAGGTGTAGTATATTTTGAAATAATAATGACAACAATAGTGTTACACAATCAGAACATTTTTGGACCAATAATAAATGTTTCTAATTTTAGGTATGATGATCTACATCACATGATTTAAATGTATGAAAGATAATTACACTGTTGTATTATGATGAATTTTTGCTATCAATTTGACCCTCCAAAACTATATTACACTAATATTTTTTTTTCATTTAGATGAACCAGACGACCAGGTGGTAAGTTCATTCTTTTTTGGAACGGTAAGTTCTGTTGCGAAGCTTTTGTTTTTTTTATTGTTTTTCTAATTGGGAACGTAACTAACGTTCCCTTTCTTTTTCTTTATAGGAACTAGGGATTTTCAGGGTTTGGGAACATTTGGAACAGTATGTTTCATTACAAAACTTCCATTTCTTTTATTTTTTTTTTTAATTGAGACGTCACTAACTACTCCCACCCAAATTAACACTGAAAGAGACCGCTTAATTGGTTTAATTAATGCCGCCCAAAATACTTTCACCGGCAACCTTAATACGATCAAAGATACGGCCGTGGTGACAGTCAATGCTCGCTGAACGGTTTTACAACAACCTGACCAGACTATTAACGGACAAGATAAAAATAGTCTTGACAAATGCTAATTGAGAAACTGCCTTACAAGCTCTAACTACTCCCGCCCAAATTGACACTGAAAGAGACCGCTTAATTGGTAGGAACTGGGAATTTTGGGGGTTTGGGAACATTTAGAACAGTATGTTTCGTTACGAAACTTCTGTTTCTTTTGTTTTTTTTAATTGGGAACGCCACTAACATTCACTTTATTTTTTAGGAGACCTGAATGAACCGGACGAACTGGACGACCAGGATTTTAAATGAACAAACTATAGTAAGTTCGTTCATTTTGCTTTTTGATTTTGCTTTAGTGAACGTAATTAACGTTCCTTTCATTATTTTTTTGTAAGAACTGGTAATTTTTGGGGTTTAAGAACATTTGGAACGGTATGTTTCATTATGAAACTTCCGTTTCTTTTATTTTTTTTAATTGGAAACGTCACTAACGTTTCCTTTATTTTAGAAAACCTGGATGAACCGGACGACCAGGATTTTAAACGAACGAACTATTGTAAGTTCGTTCATTTTGCTTTTTAATTTTACTTTAGTAAACGTAATTAACCTTCCTTTCGTTATTTTTTTGTAAGAACTGGGGATTTGCGGGGTTTGGGAACATTTGGAAGGTATGTTTCATTACGAAACTTCCGTTTCTTTTTTTTTTAATTGGGAATGTCACTAAAGTTCTCTTTCGTTTTGTTTTGTAGGAATCGGGCTTGAGATATTTAGGACACTTGGAACGGTAAGTTCACGAAACTTCTGTTTTCTTTATGTTTCTTTAATTGGGAACATCTATTAATATTCCCTTTCATTTTTTTTATAGATCTGACTTTAGATTATACATTAAGAAATCAAATAAAAATTAATAAATTGATCGTCTTAAAGAAAAAAATTTTTTATTCATTTATTTT